CTTTAAACCATGTACGTTAGCACTGCAGCTAAAGTTTGTGCCTTTAAACCATGTACGTTAACACTGCAGCTAACGTTTGTGTCTGAAGCTACATTCACACCCACAGCAGCAAGAGCAACAAAAACACGTGTGCTGCTTTGTCTTTGATGCTTGTACAAGTTTAGTTCTGACGTGCGGCATCTAGCTAGAGCATCTTTGTTGCTCTTTTCTGCTTTAGCTACGCGGTGGAAAAGTGGGTCTGATACGTGTTGGGCGGAGCTACCCTATCCTTTCACTGCCTGTAACAATGGCAGCTATATATGCTGTGATCAGCGGGTAAACAGTTGTTTGAATATGTTTTTAAATGACAAAGTCCACCTAAAATCTTAATTTGTGCAGTCAGTTCATCCAGATTACCATCCTGCCTTCAAATATTATTTCTGTGGCAGCCGCTCAGACCCCCACATACTGACGGTGCGCTGTCAGTAGGAATCCCATTCAACAGAAGCCTCTAGCCCGGTCGCCTCCTCGCGTTTTGCCGCGACGGCTGGAAGGCGGTTTTCATGTACTTCTCTGTTTGGTTGATATGGTGCGTCGAGCAGCAAAAGTTACATTTTTCCAACTCCAGCAGCAGCTGCGTTAACAACGCGGCACGCGTCAAATGCTGAAATGCTCACGACTTGCCGCTCAAAACACGTGGCCCTTTTGCTGCGCCTTGATGCCCGTCAACTATTGACCTTGCATATAAACTAGCTGCTCCTGCTGCCTTTGCTGCTTGCGGTCTGAACGTGGCATAAAAACCATCTACGTTAGCACTGCAGCTAACGTTTGTGTCTTAAAATTATGTATGTTAGCAATGCAATTAATTATTATCCTCTGCTGTTTTACTTATCTGGTGGTTGTTATAAGATGGATAATCTTTCCTGCGCTTCACAAACATGTTTTTAAGGTAAATTAATGTCAGTGTGTAACTATCTGGGCAAGCTGCTCCTGTTATGTTGCTGTTACTTAGAAGCTGCTCAGAGCAGCTCCTTGGTTATGGTCAGCCTTTGTCTTCTGTATTATTCTGCTCTCCTATTGGCCATCATTATAAACTCGTACTGGTTGTCATGGTTGGGTTTGGGTGTGGAAAGCCAAAACAGCTGGTTTAGAAGAGGGCTGAATGAGGAGGTTATTGGGTCATGCTGTCTGCCAAATCTGAGAGAAAGTTTCCTGCTCGAACAATGAAAACATGCTCTGGAGGGCTTATTGTTACTGTTTTTATTTTCAAATGTACCATAATGTTTCTCATTTGAAGACCCTGTAAATATAACAGTATTTCAGATTTAATGCACTTTATTATCTGTACTGATTGACAAACTAATATGCCCATTATTTAATGTAGGACTGAAAGAAAAGGCTGTTGCCACCATCACCTCTACGCAGAAGGCTGCTGCTCCTGGAGATGCTGATGAACTTGAAAAAACACCACAAGGTACGGCTGGTTAAATATCTGTTTAGTAAACAATTGCAGATTTCCGTTACCTGAAAATAGGTAGATGCTGTTGATATAATTCAGAAGTATAAAATGTTTAGCAATAAGATTTAAGTTACAACCTCACAGGTACCAATTTGTTTGAAATGTGGTTTTATTTCCCATTTGTTCTACTGTTTTTCAAATGACTACTTCAGATTTCATTGTTTGGCTGTTTTTGTTTGTAGCCACTATTACAGCTAAATTTCTAAATGAAAGAGATGAACCTGCCATGATGCTTTTAAGGGATCTGACCCACATGCAGAAAACCACTCAGAGAACCAAGGGAAAGTTTTACAGGTTTATTGAAGAGGACAACAGGTGGTGCATTGTTGAACTCAGAGGGAGCTGTTGAACCGGAACTAGAAGTGGAAGGGAAGTTCACAGCGGTTAGTTCAATGGCCGTAGGAAACAGAATAGAGTTCTTGAGCATGGAGGAAAAAGGGACTCACATAGGAGGGGGTTTCAATCAAAGCATTCAATCCAGAATGTGTGAGTTTTCCAGAGGGAGAGCAACTCGTTTGAGGGCGGACAGGTTGGTGGAGTTGGACCCTGAAGAGTATGAGAGCGGACTGCCACTTAGATTTCCGAGGGTACTTGAACGGATCGTGTGGAACATTTCCCCAGCTCAGTGTGAACACAAAATATCCTTCTTGGGGGAGAAGGCCAAAACTTCCAGTCAGCGGGAAGGCTTCCTGCCAAAAGGCAAAGACAAAAACACGGTTAGACTCAGAGAAACGAAGCACAGGTTAGACTCAGCTGATCACGGCTTAGCTAGAGTGCCCAAAACTGGCAAACACTCTGGCCCCGAGGTAGTGACAGTCCACTGCTTAAATACTCCTCCAGATAATGATCCAACGAGCTGCAGGTGTGCAGGAAGGCCCAACGACGACGGGGCACTACCTGGTGGTGGAGAAAAAGAAACACAAAAACAGACCACACAACAGAGCCAGTATTGTGTAATCACATTATAGATGTCTTAAAAAAAAAAACTGTTTTGAAAGCGAAACTATAAGCACTTGGATACAAGTCCTAACATGTAGAGTCTGGTTTCCATTTATTTAGTCGGATAAAATTAGTGTGTTGCAACAAATACGTACATAAAACACCAACTTCCCTACCACAAATGAGAAGTGTTTACATTTACAAGTTGATCCATGTTATTTATTTCAGCAGCCATTAGATCTGTGGTTTTGAAATTCACTTTCTCCTTTTTTAAGCCATAATTGAACCTGACCCTGTGCCTGTGGAAGATAAAACTGAGGATGTGATTGAAGCTAATGTGGAAGAGGATGTTGCTGCGGAAAAGGATGCTGCTGCAGCAGAGGATGCTGCTATGGAAGAGGATGCCGTGGCTGAAGAGGATGCTGCTGTGGAAGAGGATGCTGCTGTGGAAGAAGAAGCTGTTGCCGAAGAGGATGCTGCTGTGGAAGAGGACGCTGCTGTGGGAGAGGACGCCGTTGCCGAAGAGGATGCTGCTGT